TTATTGCCTTGTTTATCTAAAAGTGCTCTTTCCCTTTAAACCTAGCCAAAAAAGCCATATGTGTTGACTGTGAAACACAGTAGACTTTAATAATATGCATTTATGGTGTAATTACTACATTTTCGTGTCAATCCATGTTCATATTTACTGCAAAAATGCGCTGTTACTTTAATTCAGCGCTTGCAGCGCAGCAAACATAGACTCGGTCTGGAAACCATCTCTGCACTGCTGCAGACACACCGCTCCTGAACATACTGCCGTGTGCAGTGTGAACGCTTTAATCCGTTAACATGAGCGCGGAAAAAATACGCACCGCATACGCACTGCAAACGGAGTATAATAATGTGAAACTGGCGTTATGTGTGTGCGCTGCGAGTGTGCATGAGCACACGGTCTCCAGGAGAGCGCGCGAGCGCTGAATGCTTTAAACACTGGCAAGAATTAAAAAGTAATGCAATTTATAAACTTTAGTGACGATGCGACACTGCCTCGATTGTGCAAGTGACAAATCCTGTGGTAACTGTGCAGCGTGCAGCTCGCTTATAGACAGACTCGATGTGTGGTGATTTGAAGACATTTGCGTATTTTGAGAGAGCGCGTGCGCGGTCATTGTGAAATTACATCTCACACAATGTTTTCAAATTACTTTATAAGTTATCTAATGAAGAAATATGAAGGTGAGTACCTCACCTTCAGCATTAGTTATAATAATAATATTATAGGAACTACCATAAAAACTAGCCTTCGGGCTAATTTGGGTACATTTACATTCATGAATGTTGATTAATGTGCACTGTCCCTTTTTTGTGAAATAAATAAATAAATGTAAATGTATATAAAAAGTAAAAATAATAATGAAACTAACATTTCATTGTGTGTGTGTATATATATATATATTAAATACAAAAAGTATGTTTTTATTATATGTGATAGTATATAAATAAAAACTTAACTACCTAAAAACATATTTAAAAAAAAAAATAAAACATTGTTTCATTCATTATAAATTTTTGATGTACTATATACACATTTTTTTCCCAGTAATTGCATGTGCTATATATCTATATGCTGTTTAGACTGTAAAAAATAATTTTTAGAAGTTAATACAAAAGATTATTGGAGTACATCCCCCCCCCCCCCCATTAAATACAAAAAGTATGTTTTTATTATATATGATAGTATATAAATAAAAACTTAACTACCTAAAAACATATTTAAAAAAAAAAATAAAACATTGTTTCATTCATTATAAATTTTTGATGTACTATATACACATTTTTTTCCCAGTAATTGCATGTGCTATATATCTATATGCTGTTTAGACTGTAAAAAATAATTTTTAGAAGTTAATACAAAAGATTATTGGAGTACATCCCCCCCCCCCCCGCACGCGTGTATTAGAAAACATAACGTTCTGCAGTTTCTTTACTAATTGTTTAAGGCCATTTCGTGAATTCAATCATCATACAGTAACCAGCAACAATCACCCCTTCCTCTTCTCATTGAAGACATGCGATGCAGCACTAAACAGTCTCTCACCGTCGGTGCTTGTAATGATCTTTGCGTCTTTCTCGGACAGTTTAAATGCTTCCACACTGCTGACGTGTGTGCTGCATTATAAAGAGTGCGCGCCTCTCACTCTGCGCTGGTTGCTATTTGATCGCGTCATATCATTGTTCGATACAATTTATTCGGTCTTTTCTCTTATTCGGCCGAACACCGAAAGAGCTTTTTTTTGCTATTTTCGGACGAATAATTTCGGTTGCCGAGCATTCGGTTCATCCCTATTTTTAATGTAATATCCAGTAAACACATCAACCAAACACTATGATTAAATTCTAAAATTATATAACAGATTAAACTGTAAAAGTATTTTACTCAGTAATTGTGTGTAATATTAAAAAAAATATTTCAATTATTTTTTATATATATTATTTTATGCAAAATATTTGTTTTGTAGACGGCAAACTGCAGACTGTAGACTTTTTTTGAAGTTATAAAAAAATATATATATATATAAATAAAAAGTTATACATAAAAGATTACTGGAATAGTAGGCCGATTTCAGTTTTTCTACTTCAAAATTTCATGTTTAATTCAATGTGTTACTTGCATTTTCTTTGTAATTATTTATGAAATGTAATAAATTTATAATATAATAATTTATAAAATAATAAATTGCTTCAAAGTAAAGCCTGCACTCATTTTTGCTAGTGTACACTGTAAAAAAAAAATTCAGTTATTGAGTGCACATTTTTTCCTAGTTTTTTTCAACTAGATCCTACCTGTTTATTTATTTATTTTTTATTTTTTTCATTCTAAATTTACGATGACGCTATACAGAAGGAAGCTGTCTATGTAGGCGGCACACTAGATTTAGAACAGAGCGAATACGAGGAGCGTCGTTTACGGGTGACTCTGTTACTGTGGCTGTTTTGGTCCTTCATCCCCCATCTGAACTTTGCTTATTGTAAATAACTGGGTTCCTGTAAAGCAGGCAGTCGCTGGTCAACGCGTTTGTGTTTATTTACGATGGTGCCAACTTTTAAAGTCGTCTTCCTTTAGCACAGGAAGTGGTGGCTTCTGCACTGAGTGCGATACTGTGTCACATTATCTCTGCGCTGAAAGTCTGTCGGTCGAGCGCTGCAGACGTGCAGTTGTTGTTGTTGTGGAGAGTGAATTGTAATAATTCGATCGCTGATTGACTCAGAGCGTATCGAAAGTGTGTCAGTGAGGTTTTCAGATCAACTTCAGCACAGTGCAGTCTGTTGTTAATACATTTAGATATTTATTGAGAATTAGAACCTTTTATGATGTTGTTGCTGAAGTTTTATAAGCAATAAGGCACTGAAAGTTGTGACAGTGATTTTACCACGGAAAAGGGTTAATTCACGTCGCACTTAATGATAATGTTTTAGAAACAAGTCTCGTCTGCTCATCAAGGCTGCATTTATTTGATAAAAAATACAGCAAAAATTGTGAAATATTATTACAATTTGAAATAACTGTTTTCTATGTGAATATCTGTTAAAATGTAATTTATTTCTGTGATCAAAGTTGTATTTTCAGCATCATTACTCCAGTCTTCAGTGTCACATGATCTTCAGAAATCATTCTAATATGCTGATTTGCTGCTCGAGAAACATTTCTGATTATTATCAATGTTGAAAACAGCCCAATATTTTTGTGGAAACCGTGATGCATTTTATTTTTCAGGATTCACAGATGAATAGAAAGCTCAAAAGAACAGCATTTATTTGAAATAGAAATCTTTTCTAACATTATAAAAGTCTTTACTGACACTTTTGATCAGTTTAATGTATCCTTGATGAATAAAAGCGTTAATTTGTTTCAATAAAGATGCCTAAAATTTCTAAATTCCAATTATAAATATCATTTATAATGGAAGTTTCTACACATTTCTTCATCTGTTAAAACCTAAAAGGTTTATTTTAAATCGATTTTTCAATGTATGCGGTGTACTTTTAAAATGATTTTTTTTTATATTGATTCATACATTCATCAAACAACACCGGTGGAGTTTTATAAACATAATCATGTAGAATTATGTTCAAGGCTTAAATGTCTTTAGGCATTTGCTTTGAGTTTATTTGCATTTTGTTTGTCTAGAAAGTGTTTCTGTGTTTGTTAGTTCCCTGATGTATTTAAAGTGACAGTTCACCAAAAAATAAAAATGTTGTCAAGTTGTTCCAAACCTGTATGAGTTTCTTTCGTCTGTTGAAGATAAAAGAAGATATATTGAAGAATGTCAGTAACCAAACAGTCGCTGGTACCCATTGACTTTCATAATATGGAAACAAAATACAATGGAAGTCAATGGGGACCAGCAGCCCATTCAGGTTTGGAACAGCTTGAGGCTCAGTAAATGCTGACAGATTTTTTTCTTCTGTTAAACATAAAAAAGACATTTTGAAGAATGTTGGCAACCAAACAGTTGACGGTACCCATTGACTTCCATAGTTTTTTTTTTCCATACTATGGAAGTCAATGGGGACCATCATGTAACAACTTGAGGGTGAAATAATTCTTCCATCATTTACTATTTTTTCTATTGAACACAAAATGAAGATATTTCAAAGAATGAAGGTAACCAAACAGTTGATGGTACCCATTGACTTCCATAGGTTTTTTTTCTCCATACTATGGAAGTAAATGGGACCATCATGTAACAACTTGGGGGTGAAATAATTCTGCCATCACTATGACTATTACTCTTTTTCTATTGAACACAAAATGAAGATATTTTGAAGAATGTTGGCAACCAAACAGTTGACGGTA